TGGCGAGCGGCCGCCACTCGCGAGTCCAGGCCGGCACTGGGGCCATTTTCCAGATAGATAAGCGTTCATTCGATTTAATGACATGTTACTCCAATTTATCTATTACTATGTGAAAAACTTTGCTACGGAGTGATCAATTAAGAAAAGTATGGCAGCTAATTGTCCGCCATAAGTAAATTCCCCCAAGCTATTTCTAAGGAAATTGCAGTCTAGCTGATCAAATGACATGCGTCCACGAGGAGATGATGGAAAAAGAGTGGGATGACTCATTGGTGATAAAAATGCACGGGGTGAGCTTGGAGGAGAAAAGGTTCCTGAAAAACTTGAGATACAACCACTTGAGGATCGAAGCAATGCTTGCTGAGATGAGAATGCGCCAGTATTATCACGATGCAGAGTCCCAGCAAGATTAAAATTGTACTGCTTACGATAGTCTTGATATTCAAGGTTAGTTTTCTCGATTAGCAAGTCGATGTAGTCGGTTGGTTCAAGTCGAAAGAGTTTCGTCATTACTAATGCCAGCAATGCTGATTCGTCATTAGTGTCGCTGATAGACACAGCTTTTGAAAGGGGTTCAGTGGTCAGAGCCACGAAATGAGGCCATTGTTGAGCATATCGCTTTGCTGTTTTGTCGACGATCTGTGAAAGCAACAATAACATTTGAGTATCACCTACAACACAACCCAAACACGCGACGAAAAGTGGCAACTTACGTGACGCATATCCAATGACAGTGTTTGGATATGTTCCTGAAGCATCAACTTAGTGATGCTGCGTATCTGATCGATATATGTAACATCTTGAATCAACTTCATAGTGGACAGAGCGGATTTGAAGTAATCTACAGCGCGGTAGTGCTCTCCTATATCTCGAGACAAATTTCCAAGTTGCAAGAAAGAATTAATCATGTCTTTATGGCTCGACATAAGTACTTCTTTCCGAAGACCAAGACCTGTAAGCGCAACTCTGTAAGCTGCTTCTGCAGCTTGGTTTCCATTTACTTGTATATATAGTGTTGCTAGCACATAGCAACACTCTGCAGCAAACTCTTTGTAAATTGCAACGTCCTCCACAAGACCATGAAAATGTTTCTCGTACACTGAAAAGGCATCCTCCAATACTCCGATAACTGCCGCACCATCTGTAAAGTTTGCCGTGAACATCAGCATCCCCTGCTGTCGTCTAATATCTGCATAGAGAAGGCTTGTCTTTCCAAAGCAATCGCGTACAAGAACCACACAATTCTGCATGATTTCCAACGCTTGCTCGAGCTTACCTAAGTTTCCGAGAATCTCCGTCATTGCCATGTACGTGTTGCAAAGCAATGGGTGAACGGGCCCAAGGTGCCATTGAACGAGCTCCACAGATTTTGCAAAACATTCCTGGATGCCGACTAAGTCATTTGATGCATACTTTAGCTTCATGAGAACTGTATACACACATGCAAGCTCCGCGTGATTGCTGGGAGACTCTTCGATCGCAAGAACCGCTAATTGTTCTGCCTTGTCTGGCAAGTCCATCTCCAACAAAATATTTGCAGCGCATGTAAGCAAGTGGCACAATGACGAATTACGCTCATCACTTGGGGCGGTTTCTAGTATCGAAATTTGAAACAATATGCTTGAAAGAGCACCGTCGACATTTTGTGCAGCGAGAAAAGCATCAGCATTTTTCATAGCCCTTTCACATGCTGCTGTACTTCTTACAAGTAATTTCGTACGTGAATTAATGTATTGCATGTGATCACATGAAAACGGAGTAGCACCTCGTAAATTGTAAGATATATAATCACTGTAGCAAACGCCAGTTTGGACTTGGAGTGCGTGAAACAATTGAGGCATATGCAACAAGTCCTCATTGATGATCGTATCCCAAACAAACTTTTCACCAGGTCTACCGAATTTAGCATGCAGCTGCGGTAATATTCTCTCTTCCCAAAACAATTTGGAATCAAGAGACGAAACTCCGAAAACAAGATTAAAACACTCCACTGTAATTTGGGACGCTTCATTTTCAAGAGCCAGCTTTGCAAGAGCGCGAGCAGTAGTGATGTCAGTGTTGCGACGGGGCTCATCGTCGATTCGCAAATTTAAGGAGCCTACTGCTTGCGTCAGAATTGCCGCGATACTTTTTGGTAAAATTTCTCGAAGTGATGCTCGAAATTCGATTTTGATCGCTCGAGCCACCATTTCTGCGAGCAACGCACGCCTTATATGCTTTAGAGATGACAGCTCGTAGCAAGAAGATAAGTAGCGCATATTAATACCCGCTTCGTGTAATGCTCGTGTCAACGATCGGCTATCGATCACTTGAACCGTTCCATTTTCAAGATCAGCAACAAATTCCGGAATGATAATAGTTTCCAAGCAGTCATGCGCACTTCTAGCAAACTGCTGGAGCAATTGTTGTTCTGTATGGGACTTGTTCTTGGCACATTGATTCTGCTGATCGATTGAAAGGTGGGTATTTGAGTAGAGTGGTAAACTGTTTCCATGCATTCGAACAAATTCGGGGCGCATCTTGCATAATAACACTTCGTTTGCTATCGCATTGGGCTCATCACTTGATACATCAGCGGGAAAAATATCCATAAGATTATGCAATTTAAAAACTAATGCAGCTTCTCGTGTCTCAACAGAAAACCCCGCACTTACAGGAAAGTAGGCAGGAGCTGAGCAATCGGAGTGCAATTCATTCTTAACATCTTCTAATGCAGGCATGCTGTCCGTGAGCAGTCCAAGATTATCGTACACAAGCTTCAATTGGTGATGTAACTGATGCGCTTGATTTGTCTCCGCTTGACTTACTAAGGATTGTCGCGTACTCGTCAAACCTGGTGAAGAGGATGCAATAACGAATGCGCGGAAGCCAAGATAATCAATACTGCACTGCAGAGGAATCTGAAGTATAATGTCTTGACAAATCGGTTGAGTATTGTCAGCAAATTCCTCGATTGCGATCTGAATTGCTCGCGCAGCACGAACTTGATGACCAACAAGTTTATGAAAGGCATCAACACACTCTTCATCTATCCTCGTTTGATGGACACTCCCGTTTACTGAAAAATTTGAGCACATATATATTAAGAGTCCATCGCACTGATACTTGAGTAACATAGGGAGCAATGATGTGAAGTGCTTCATGTCATCCGTTGCAAAAAAGTCGTCGCCGTCGAGAGGCTGAGGTTTTAAAGTCTTTTCTGAATCCTCGAACGCCATCTCCTCAACAATTGTGGTCACAGCTTCCTCGGCTGTATGACGAAAATTCGCTAAGAATGTTGAGAATTCCACCCCGACAGAAAATATGTCGGCAGAACCTTCTCTATTTTGAAGTGCCTTGAATCTTTGATCCCAATCCTCTTTGTTCTGATAAGCCAAGCATTTTGATTCCGAGACACGAGCACCTATGCTATCCAATGTCTTCATCTCGGGCTGTCTTTGTTCCTGGACAGGTTCTTCTGCTCTGTGCTCTTTTAAACTCTCCAATTCTACCCGCACCTTACCTTCTTGTGCACAATAGAAGCTCTGAAGCCAAGCAAGCAATCTTCTTCGAGAAATTACCTTCCGACGACCGAGCCCAAGCTGTTGCTGCATCAGTCTGAAGTCCGAGTCGTTCCCTTCCCAACCAACGTGAAAGCGCAAACACAACAAAACGGACCATTTGATGTAAGAAATCAGCACGCAAAAAAGAATGCGAACTCGGAAACATGAATATCAAAGTTAGCATGGAAGGATATAGTTTGAAGCAATCCGCGAACTTTTCCAGACTCAATTTTTCCAGTATTACGTGTATCGAACTATTGAAACATAAATGTGAGTATCAGGCGTTGGCCGATGTATTTCGAAGAATTAAATTGCATTAAACATGCCTTCGAAAATGTTTCAGCAGCCTGTCGAATCTTCTCGGCAATTCTACCAAATGAGCACAGCCAGAATTTGTTATTTGAACTAATTCAAAAACAAAAGAGCACCATACACTAGGGAAACTGAAGTATCAGGTGGAAAGCACAACCGAGACTACCACATCGTAAATATTATGTAAAGACATTATCTCATGACTTCTTGTAAAGATTTAAAAAACCTGAAGTGCAAGTCTCCACTCCACCAGCTCCTTCTCCGATGAGCACGCAAATGTCACTGTCTTGGACGACTGTACCAATCATTCATTCCATAAATTTTCAGTATAAGCTGTCAGCCATAAGAAACAACACGCACCTTTTGTATGGACTCGAGTTGAAAGGTAAACTTTCGGTTCAACCTTCTCTGCATTTTGCACATTGTCAGATCCAAGGTTCAATATATCAGGATAGTGAGCACACCTCATCTGCTACTGCAAATTTATAATCCATCAGCTCATAAGTACTACTATGTCGAGAGCTGCTAAGAGCAAACACTTGCTGCACAGCCATGGGAAAGCATTTAAGAAGCGTTCCGTCGAGATGCACCCATTTTTCAGTCCATTTCGGCCCAAAAAGGCCCGATCCAAGCTGCATTGATAACTGAGTATTTAGCCCAAGACACAAAGCGATAACATTACAAAACGCGCAGCACCTTGTGTAGCTTGCCGGATTTCGGCTCCATCGGATGTTCGAAAACTGCGTCTTTTAGTTAGTTATTTTGAGCATCTATAATAACGAAGAATCTCCTAATGCTTAAACCTTTCGCGGAGAATATACGAGCCATAAATTGACCTCAGGCTATTGTATTCTGCACCATAGAAATATTGATAATAACATGACAACAGCTGACGTGACTTGGAGCAAGGAGGAGACGATTAAGGCCTTTGAAGAGGCGGGAAATCTTAAATTCTTGGAGCACATAAACCTTTCCAATATCGAGAAATGCTCGGAGACTGCACCTGTCTATATTTTCTACATGCGCGGCCTACAATGCTCACGTGATCCGCGACTTGCTTATCACTTTTGGGCCAATTATGCTGGCCGCCATCAATTTCATTTGTTTACAGGTCAGCCTAAAGATGAGTGCATTAATGCTACCATCTTTCTTTACGTGCCTGACTTGGATGACATGGAAAAGAGCCTTGCATCCGTAGCCGATGAGCTACAAGGCACTAAGTTTGCTTACAAGCGTGTAAATCGCGGCGCGAAAACGACGATTGATTATCCGCAGGAGAAATGGCACGAGCTATTTGACATAGCCGCATATGATCATCTCAAGGTGAATGATCCGTATGGTAATGAGCTATGTCTCAATGTGACGCCGAGACACTATAACTCCATTAATCTGTCGTTGGGGAAGACGCTTCCAGTGACAAACGATGTTGCCGGTGTACCACAAGGATTGCCATTTTTGTTGTATCCATGTCGTCCTGGTATTGCCGAGGGTATATCCCGTTTCTTTGAGCATTACCTGGGGGCCAAGACCGTGGTCACAAAGAAGGAAGGCAATATTGACCTCTATCGCACGACGGTGTTTTGCGGCCCCATTCAATCCATCGTCTTTGACGAACAAGAGTCCCAAATGCATAATAAGGGCGAGTACGACGGTCATCACGTGTGTATTCATATCGATCGCTTTAAAGAGTTCTATGACAAGGCCTTTAATGAATCTATGCAGTGGAACAATGTGTTGTTCTTTGACCGTTGTGACACTTGGTTCGAAGCAAATCGTGACCAGCAATACCGCATCCTACACTTGATCGACCCAGTGGACAAGAAGTTCCTCATGTCTTTCGAGATGGAAATCCGCTCAGCACAGCATTTTCGCTACCTCATTCACCGCAGCGATGTGACAGAAGAAGAGGAAGCTGCTAATGAAGTGCTTCGCAAAAAGAATCTGTAGAATTTACAGCAAATGTAGTGTTTCGATGGCAGTACGCTGAAACTCGGCAAAGGCGTTTTCATTCTTATGAAAATTCGCGTTATATTCTTGAATGTGTTCTAATGATATTTTAGCTTTGATCTCTATCTGGCATTTGAGACATGGTGCAGTATTATTAGAAAGCTGTCATAAATTCCTAAAGCACTTCTGGAAGCGTAAGTTTTGCCATAGTGTCGGCAGTTTTCACTTCTTATTCCCACTGACGTCGCTATATCTACTCGAATGCCGGAAAAGATCTTGAAACATTCACTACCAGAATTAAAGCAGTTTCCGACGTTGCAAAAGAATTCATTTTTGTCCCAACTCCACGACCAAGTTCATGTAGAGACTGAAATACGGAGCCAGCGCCAGAGAGAAATAGATGAAATTTGCAACATATTGCAAAGACCTCCCGACGTTCGTGATGCCCTGGAAATCGACACTTTATACGACTGGGTGCTCAAAAACGGCAGCACCAACAAAATTTTTCACGGCGCTCAAGAAATTATCTGCAAGACTATTTGTCGAGAGATGACTTTGCTAACACTACCGGCTCAAGGTGTTGTTTGCTATCAAGGTGACTACGGTGACACTTTCTATGTTATTATCACTGGCTCAGTGTCGCTGTTTATTGAATCGAAACCAAAGCTTAAAAGCTCATTTGATGAAGTTATGAAGCACAGATCAACATTGGAAGATGAAGACGATGGGACGCCAAAACCAGACCAGCATGGCACGTTTATAAAGCATATCACTGAAGGGGGTACTTTTGGTGAACTGGCAGTGATGGACCCTACGGCACGGCGATCCTGCACAGTCACATGTGACGTGACAACATCTTTTATATGTCTCAAGAGAGGGGCATATCAACGATTGATTCGCATGACAAATTCCTCGCATCTCGATTTTACGCAGATCGAGTACTTAAAATCAATGTTTTTCTTCGAAGGATGGCCTCATGGTGAGCTTATTCGATTATCCCACCGCTTAAGACAAGTCCACTTTCCAGCAAATAGTTACCTCACCCGATTTGGTGCCGAAACTCATGGGGTCTTTTTCATTTACGCGGGGTTAGTACAAGAAACAGTGCCGATGATCCAATTTTTGAATGAGAATGGAAACATTCATCGCTGTGGAGAACTTGAAAGCAATCTGGCGAAGCAAAGAATACAGGACCTTGAAGGAAAAGGAGATTTCTTACAGCTACAACGTCGATCAGAGCTCGAGCTCAGTCTGTACCAAGACCACGACATTTGTGCCGAATACCCAATTATTTTTGACAAACCGACGTGCACTATAAACTTGCTCGCCGGTAAGGTGGCGTTGTCCTGATTTCTGCCCTTAAGATGAAAAAAATTCATTAACAATTTGTTTGCGGGTGGTAATTCATGTAGTCACTGATGTGAAAGCTCTCTTGATGGATGTAGGAGTTGGTAAATAGTGTGTCTTTTCTTCGTTGTTGATTGTTGATATGTTTTTACTAGAGAGAAACGTGGAAGGAAATGTTTTTCATGCATGCTATCGACTACATCTTAAGCACTTATACCAGGTTTCGCAAACTGGCTGATGCTAGAGAAACGTGGCGTAAAACGCGTATGAAGCTAGCTCTGGCAAATCCGAATTTGACTCTTACAATGTACGCATCGTTATCAAACATCTATATCTATAATATATTGATTAGTCATGTTTATTAATGTAAGCCTTGGCATTATATTTGATTGCAACTTTTGTTTAGTTCGACGAGAGCTATGATGAAAGACGGAAAGTGTCTGTGTGGCTGGTGTGGAAATTCAGATCACACAACTGGAGACACAAGCTGCTCAGGACTGGTGGCGTCGAAGAAGAAGCAAGAAGATCGAAAAAAGAACACAAGTTCAAAAAGAAATAAGAAGATGGAAGAGGTGGCAGGAAAGTCAAGTGTCAGTTTGACATGCTGTAGTCATGCAGCGGATCCATCGAACACAGAACAACTCGTGAAGAACAGTGCAGATACTCATACTGAGCACGGCAGTGACGTTGTTCGCGCTAATTTAGCATGTCATTCTGTCTCTCCTCATTCCTCAGCACACCGAAGACTTCGAAGTCCTAGTATTACGACCACTGCACAAACTGTGTTGTCCATCGACTCTACAAACCAATCAGAGAGACCCCGAACTGATCCAGCGAAGTGCAGCAATAAATCAGATGGCCATATATTGATTAAGAGCCTCACAGAATGTTGTGTTCCGAATAGTGTTAATGACATTGACGTACAGAATTCTGACTTTTCAAAGTCTCACACGATATCTAGAGAGTCCAAAAAATCTCTCGAAAGACGAGAAGAACACAATTTGCCTACCATTAAGATTGAAGACGTGCGTAAAGGAGCATTCACTGAGGATATTGCCGACCACTACAAGCATGAGATGGTGCGGAAGGTCAAGCAGATGTCTTGTATGAAGCAATATATCGGCGTGCGTGCCGAAGTTCTCGAAAATCTCACTACATTGCACGAATGCATGCAGCACCGACTTCCTCGCAAACCAAAGATTCCAAAGCCTCGTCGCCCGACACTGAATCCAAAAACGAAACAGCCTCGACCCGATCGATTTAATAGAAAAATCAATCGACTCATGAGGAAGATCTGGAGGAAAGATCACCCGGTGCCTGTTGTCGAAGAGAGCTTGCGTGATTTGTAGCAATTTTATACTAGGCTAGATTTTACAACTCACCATGTAAAGCCTTAGAGGCATTAGAAATCTCAACAAGTTCCTCAAGAAGAGGCTCGAGCTCGTCAATGGGTATCATTGTAGCTGCGTCACAGAGTGCCTGTGTCGGATCAAGATGCGTCTCAAAAAAGAAGCCGTCGACACCAACAGCCGCAGCCATTCTAGCTATTGTCGGGATGAATTCGCGATTACCACCGCTTGTAATGCTATCGGTATGCGCACTACTCGATCGTTGAACACTATAGCACCCATACGTTATATAAGATTCTTCATGACCCTAAGCTCCAAGGTCTTACCTGTGAGTGACATCTTGCACAACAAGACCATTAGATCGACGAAGTAATGGAAGATTTCTTGGATCTACTACTAGGTCCCCATATCCAAACATACTTCCACGTTCTGTCAGCATGAAATCTGTGGTAATGTGATGTCAGCCGTAAATATGGTACAAGTGCATGGTATCGTTCGCACCTGAGTCTTTCTGTGTTATTGCAATCTTTTTAGCTGCTAAGAGCTACAATAACCTCTTGGCGTCAAAAGCTGCTCACATTCATAAGCAGCATCTTTACTCACCATAGTTTCTGCTGACAACATTTGTCCTTTTTTTAAATTCACTAGCTTTCCGGAAGTCGCAGCAGCTAAGAGCAGATCCGTTTGCCGGCTTAAAAAAGCTGGTATTTGAATGACGTCTACTACCTTTGCCACTGAAGCCACTTGATGCGTCTCGTGAACATCAGTGAGCACCGGTAATCCCGTTGCATCCTTTACTTGTTGTAACATTGCAAGACCACACTCTAGTCCAGGACCTCGAAAGCTTGTGAGATCCTGTCGATTAGCTTTATCGAAACTTGCCTTGAATATAACAGGAATTTGTAGCTTTTTCTGAATTGCAGCTAACCTGTCAAACACAGATCGCACCTTGTTTCAAAACGATTTTCGATAGACTAGAAGGTTGACACACGCACCGTTTTGCGATAGTCATGACAATTTGCTGGGATTCGAGTACACATGGACCAGCGATAAGGAAGAACGGAGACGCTTGTCGCAAAGTCTTGGCCAATGCTCGGCGGTGAGAAAACATTATAGGAGAAATAATTATTAGCACTAATTTGTAACTTTAGACAAATTCGAAATTGCTATATATTGTGTGATGTTACGAAAGGTGCGGCAGTATCCGGTCCGTCAGTGTGGTAATCTGCACCTATCCGATCTATCGACTTTAAAATTTTGCTCGCGTGATTCCGAGATTGTTCAAGAGCGCAATGAAGTTGCACTCGCAAATCCGTCACCCCGGTATGAGCATGTTCGCAAGCTTATCGTTGGCCTGGGAAATCCTGGCGACAAGTTTACCAACACAAGGTTTGGACACTTTGATTTTTTTATCAAAAAAAACCTTATTACAAAATATTATTGTTTGAGTCAGGCATAATATCGGTTTTATCGCTGTGAAGCACTTTTTGGGGACGTATGTATCAGAAGTGACTGTGCGTGTCTTCTTGTTACTCAACTTGATCTTGCAGTTCTTAACTTAGCTTTTTTACTGACTATTGATTTCAGAGAAGACACTTAAAATTGAAGTACGATGCGAGCAGTCATGGTGACGTGGTGCGGTGTCGCCTTGCATTCCAGCAAAAAGCAGCTGATAAGAAATACGCTTACCCAATTGATGACTTAGTGAACCTTTCATCGAAACGTGCTAAAGAGCGAACGTATGAAAAAGGTGTTCCTCACGAAATGGTTAATGTCGCACTGCTGCTACCATCGACCTACATGAACTGCTCAGGTACTGCTGTTCGAGCCTTTATGAAGTCTCACCGTTGGCAATTGAAAAAGAATCCGCTGGCTTTAAATCGGCAGGATGAGTTGCTTGTGATATCAGATGACGTTGCGCTACCATTCGGCGAGTGTCGCTTTAAGCCAAAGGGAGGATCGGGTGGTCAGAATGGTGTGCGTGATATTATCAAATGTTTGGGTACAGAACGTTTCGCTCGACTTCGAATCGGTATTGGTGCACCGTATTGGTTCACAGGAGGTAATAGTGGCGCGGGATCAGGGACAGCGATGGATAAGTACGTCCTTGGTCGTTTCAACAGCAATGAACAGGACGCTATGCCAGACTTGTTACGTTACATAAGTGAGTTGATACGGCTTTATCTGCATCGAGGTTTAGCGCAAGCTACTACATACGCCAACAGTATGGACTTGCAGGGCTATTTAAAAGCGACTCGATTTGAATAATAGGCAATATACCGGTAAAAATAACATTTTGCCGCATACAATTTTCGATTGACTTTCCGCTATGCTTCCCTTGCCACCTGCGCCCGTGCAAGTCTCACGGAAGGATCTGCCTCGTGTACTTGCTATCATGGTGTCGGGATACATTACCGCCTTGTGGCTAATGTTACAGACGGACAATTACTTTGCCGCAAATGACGAAATTCAAAACTTCAGCTTTCAGTTCGTGCATTCGTGACGCCATTATTCAATTTTCATGTCATCTGATGCTCTTATGATACTATTCTCAGCAAAGTGAAGGCATTTGTTGCACTGTATACGGTGATGATGGCAATCTGCCGCTATTATCAACACGGTACAAAGACTTTTGCAAAGTTTTAAAGTACGTGCTGACTGACAATATCTGCTCAATGGATTAGGCACTTACGTCTTGTTCGAGATGTTGTGGGCATGCAATGTATCTTTGGTACTAGTCATCATGGCTCTTGACTTACATAAGCCTTTTCTCGTTAGCGTTGCGGTGAGTTGGAGATAGATGTTTCATAAAAAAAAATGTTGACTGAAGGCGTATATTTCATTGCAGATGGCGACAGTATCAGGAGACCATTTACTCTGGTACATTGATACTTGTTCATTCGTGCTTTCGGGTAAACTCAATACTGGTGTCATGAAATATCTCACATACCCAGAAAATCGCTCGTTTTCCAAGACATTTTTTGCGACTCATCACCTGTGGTTTTTGCCAATGTGTCTATACGTACGTTTAGTATGTTACATATATAGCATCCTCAATTTCTTATTGCTCATTGTTTAAAGATCACTTGCGGTCACGGCGGCATGCACGGCTCAAGCTTTGTAGGCTCAATTATTTTGACTACTTTTCTGGCAGCATTTTGCCGAGCTTTTACGCCGTTTCAAGTTTGTACACCCGAGAATGGACATGTCGTGTATCTCAATGTAAATGGAGCTTATGAGTTTTGGAAAGATATCAAGATTCCGTTGCTTCATTTGTTCGACCACCATCCTCCCGCGGTGTATATCCCATTTCTTGCTGTCGTGGGAAATCTTGTTGCGAACGGCTTACCTCACATGCTAGTTCTTGGTATTGCATTAGGACTTCAATTTAATCCGCTACTTGAGGGAATAACTCACTAATTGTAAATACACAAGGTACTTCGTATTCAAAATGTATGTGATTCTCGAATTTGACTGGTCAAAATTCGCATAAGACGCTATATTAAAATGGACTTAAATCGCTCTTGACTCCATGACGACAGCACATCGCCCGACATGGCATGCCGCCGTAGGCCAGTCTAATGAAGGAGGCTGGCATGCAGGAGGTACAATCGATTTCAGTGTGCTTTTTTTGGTTTGTAATAGAACGCACGTTTTTCATTAGCCTTTACGTGATGCTGTAGGCAAATTGAGCGACCAGATCTCGGCGCGCGACCTTCCAGCTCATAGGCGACTCAAATTGCGGTATGCAAGACGTGCATGATAGCTATAATGTAATTGTAGATGTAATTGTGCTCTGGATCTTTTTTATATCTCGTAGACAGGTTGGACAGGGCACTGCAAATGAGGTGGAGTTGATGGACTTGCGCGAAGAATTGGAGCGCAAGGAGGAAAAGTACGAGGTAGAGAAAGGTCGAAAGATAAACACTGCACAAGGTAAGCATTAGTAGAAAGCTGCTACTGCTAGTGTAATGTTTGAAGTAAAGTATACTGCAAAATGACGGATAGATAAGCTGCGACGGCTAGAGGAAAACAAGAAAATCTTGCTACTAGGCGATGCAGAGACAAATGAGCGTGAGTCGCAGCTAAAGAAAGTTGCAAGTAAATACGATGATGCAGACGATGGAGCTGACTCCGAGAATTCGAGCGATGGCGATAGTGACAGGTTTGTGATGCTGGCCACTTGATGAGTGTTTGATTTTTACTTACCCGAATTTACTATTACACATTATAGCGACGATGACGACGAAGAAGCTGAATTAATGCTTGAGCTTGAAAAAATCAAGCGTGAGCGCGAGGAGGAGCGATTGCGGAAAGAGGAAGAGGAGAGAAAGATTACTGAGCAACGGTCACGCGAAGAAATTCTCCAAGGTAACCCACTGACGCAGCAACAAGCTGCAGGAAGTGCGAAGATGAAGAGACGGTGGAACGATGATGTAGTTTTCAAAAATCAGTCTCGCAATGAGCCGGAAGTGAAGAAACGATTCATTAATGACACGATTCGCAACGACTTTCACCGCCGCTTCCTCAGCAAGTATATTCAATAAAAAAAAAACTTAGATTTTAATTTCAAACATAAAGTCGCGTTTTTCTCGATGGAAAAGACGCCACGAGTTTAGCCTACTTTGACAATCGTTCCACCCACGAATTTGTGCACCGTTCCTTCTTCTCCAGCGTTATTCGTTGCCTGCGTCTTGATATACTCACCATCTTGCTGAAGACCGCTTGAAAGCTTGATTGTGCAATTTCCGATTGGCATTCCATTCTCAAAACGACCAATATACGAGCCGCCATCTTTAAAAATCCATTTTCCGTTTGCGATTGTGTCGTCGATCCATTCACCCGCAAATAAACTCTTGTCTGTCACAAACTCGTACGAACCGTTGCCGGAGCGGATGCCGCTCTCGAACCTACCGCTGTAAATATCGCCATTTGCGTACATATAGGAGCCCTCACCTGTCATTTTGTCTGCCGTCCATTCTCCATGATAGACATCACCATTGGAAAACGTCATCTTTCCAAGTCCATTCTTGCTGCCGCTGACGTATGTTCCTTCGAAAGTCGCAAGGACGGACACTAACAACAGGTTCAGACATTTGTAAGACAAGATATAGTGCCAAAATCAATAATTTCATACATATGCCTTCTGCATCGCGTTCATTCCAGGTGTATTTTCCTTCACCATGTTTCAAACGGTTCGGACCAATATTTCCTTCATAGGTGTCTCCATTTGCGTATGTTATTTTCACTTGACCCTCACGACACAAGTATTTGGCTTCCTCTGGATGATCATCCACGTATGTTACAGAATATGTCTGAAAAACATTTTCTATGAATTATTTCTTGCTGTCAATACAATAGATTCGCGCTTACATCATCGCTCATGGTGACAATCGAGATTTACGCGTCTGTTCAAAGTTGGACTTCAAAGTGAAGACAAGCTATACAAAATCAAAATGTAGTTTAAAGACAATGAGAAGCGATCAAAAAAATTGAACATTTTTACGGCTTTAGAAAAACACGTTTCACGTGCCGATGGAAATGGTGATGACGAGACATTGAATGTATTTTGCAGGTCCACCGGTATTCAGCGGCGAATGAGTGACAGCAGTAATTGAGCAAGCGATGGAAACGCCGACAACTCAGGGTATTATCAAAACACATGGTCTTTGCTGTGGTTTGCCACTGAGTTTCTGCAAAATAAACGGCACACGAAGGCGAGCTCAAGAAGGATGTCGCTGATAATAGATTTTATCAAAGAAGTTTCGAGTCTGTGCATCATTGTGTTTTCATCGGGATACGCCGTGCGCTGTGCACAACTCAACAAAATGTCGCTGATATACTCAAAAAAGTGAGAGAGATTGTCAACATCTGCACTTCTTGATCGATGTGTATCTTATGAGGTCACCATAAGGCCTCGATGAGAAGAAAATATTTGGAGAAAAAGAGTGAAGGTGCATATATTCTGAACAAGGGCATGTAACGTTTAATAAAATTCGAGATATGGTGAGGTTGGACCCAAAGAATTTTAGTACGGCAATGAGATCCAGACAGAAAGACAAGTAGGCAAAGCATTGATTGGCTAATGTATACGAACGTGTGCGATATGAGTGACCTTACTGGTTGTTTATGTATCTATGTATCAAGTTCATTATGCTCACAACAGCTCTGTACGGACTTTGATATTTAGTACGGTAAAGCATAATCATAACATAGTGACGGCCACGTCATCTATGCCGGAAGCGACGATAAAATCTACAGGTCGGCAGCGGGAGCGTTGCTAATTCTTTCTTTTTACCAGGCGCTAGGCATGTAGATCACGTCGGTGAATTTATAGTCGATCAAATAAATATGTTTCTGCTATTACATCCTTACCAACAACTGCAACTTCTACAAACTTTGATACTTCAAGGAACCTTCTTTGACAGTAACACAGAATATTCGACCTCGCCTTGACTTATCTTTCGTGGCATGTTCATTGTCTTGGTCATGCCCAAGTGTGTGCGATAAGCCAACAACTGTACAAGTTTACATCTTTCATTCAATGATTTGTTTAGTGGAAAATAAAATAATATTAAATTTTCCGAATTGTCTTTTGCGAGAAAAATCACCGGTAAAATAGATTTTTGCATCATCAATGCTTTTGACGCAGCTTTGATCTATGGTGAGGTCTATGTTGAGAAGTAAGGACGCTCTTTTAAATCTGACAGACTTGAGTGATCTTCAAATTACTGTCGTACCACGATGAGCAACTTGCAGCAATTTCGTCGTTGCGCTAAGCGAATCAAGTAGCTTTCACGGTGCAATTCTAATTCGCATTTTTTTGTCGGACAAAGCTGCAAGCATACATCGAAAGGCAGTGCTAAGGCGAGGCAAAATAATCCCGCTCGATTTCTCGATGAGGCGTAAACTTTGACGTGTTATAGTTTTTTCAAGTTATGACTTTGTTGTTTACAGGAGATCAAAGTGACTCATTTAGCATATTTAGCCTCAAATAAAGTGAGCCATTCTTATTGCGATCCCAAAGCAAAGTTTGGAGAGCAAGAACTGCGTCCACAGTTCACGCGGAAGTGAGCGGGAATGGGTAAATCTTGAAAATGGAAGGACTGGGTATATCATCGGGACTTGTTGGTGACATTGACTACTTTGATCAGACTATCTCGCATTTTAGAAAAAGTTGGTTTCGCATCCCTGGTATTCTCTTTTGTATTTGAATGAAAGCACACAGTTCATATGTAAACACTTCCCCTGTGCAAGGTGCACGGCAACCCAACCAATATTGGTACTCTGCGTTCTCTTGTGGTGCTTCGTCAATCGCCACGCGGTGCGTTTTCCGACACATCTGTCGATTTAACACTTTTGATATTATAAATGCCTTTCATTTAAAGGGAGTACGCCTTGGTGCCCATTTTGGTGCGCGGTCTTCCAACGAGGAGGCTACCGCGATACACTGTTTCTTCATCAATGGCATCATCGAATTGATGGCTGCTGAGACGTTATTCACCGTAAAAAGAGAGTACTTCGGACGTATTCATCAAGTACTGAACGCAACATATTATTGGTCGTACGGTGAGAGCCGCTGCGCTTTTACTGACAGCAGGCTGGATCGCTCTTGTATATGCCCGGAAGGGCATTGTTATTACTTTTGATCTCCTAACGACAGCAATTAATGCTCCTAACCTTCAGGCGCCAATCGCTAACACTTCGGTACCAATCAAATACAGGGGTTTACAATCCGTGTTAAAGTGGTCTGTGGGCAGATCGCCACGATCTCACGAATGTACTTCTCAGCATGGTGAGCGCGTGATACGGGAGTGCGGACTAAGCAAAACCGTAACATCGTGACAAGGATGAGTGCCCATTTAGCTCGTTTGGATCCGGTCCTTTAACCTTCGATTTAGTGCCAAAGCATACCGTGACATGTAGTCGCTTTTCAACTCCACCGGCTCGGACATGGTATACTTCGACATCTAACCGCTACTACTCACCACCGGTTATAGCACAACCGACAGCAGCTTACGATATCTATTCTCACAAATTCATGGCATACGATCATAATCCGCCCAGGAAATATACTTTAACACAGCAAAAAACTATTGTTTTTCTATGTCATCCTATTATTGCGACTCACTACTGCTACTGCCTTCAAATTTTGCTCCAGGCGATTTGCAATACATTTGCTCATTAATTTGGACGATTCTATGCACTGCACTAAAGCTATCGATGCTCGCATCCGCGTCCAAAACGCTTCTGCTTCCTTGCAGAGGTGTGCTCATGACTCGTCCAAGCTTCACTGGGAGAGAATTGATTGGCACCAACTTTGTTGACTTCGAGTCAACCCATGTCGCATGGCCTTCCAGTCAAATTATGTCAAGAATGAGATCATATCTCGAATACAAGTCTAGTATTGGACAAGCCTCATGCTGTCGATGTCCTCGAGTTTCACTCATGGGCTCAGCAGAACCATCGACACTTTAAGCCGTGTCTTTGTCGCAAGACGCAACGACATGATATATTCGTATATGGCAGCTTCAAGGCCTTCGCGTACCTTCTAATGTTTATTTACAGTCGCGCTTTAAATAGATTACATAACACCGCTGAATGTATCAAAATACTATCCGGTTTTACAAATCCTACGCTGATGATGTATACAACAACTCTGCACTGCGAGCCCCCCCCCTCATATCAAAGTAGTCGCTAATGTAGAGGCTGGATGTTATTAATATCGGCAGATTTGGCTTCTGTAAATAACGATCGATAAGCGATTACCCAGACGCATACGCCCTCTCAGGGAAACTACGATAAGGTCACCGACCTAAGGTTTTATACAAGAACCAGTTCGAGTGTGGCGGGCCACATTCCGCTACCTCCAGAGTATCTAAAATCTTAACCAAGGTAAAGACGCTCTTCCTTTTAAAATTAAAACTCATATTTGATTGTTTAATTTGCGGTAGAGCCGCCAATATCTAAAACCTCAGGTTTTCCTGATTTAATAGTAAGACCTAATTAATAAGCATAACTATTGGTAGTCCAGCCACGTAGTGACTTCTTGTTACGGTGTAGCCACACCACCGTGTGATTACATCAACTTGTGTAATCCACACCTTTGTACAGTTACATCATCTTGTGTGGTCCACTTTTTCATCAAGAGTACGTGTAACCCTGTCACACTCTCCCCCATCAAAATTGTGAATACCCACAATTCACATTTAACTGTCACCTCGTACGAGGTCGCGTGATTGAGACACCGTTGTGTTCTAGGACCATCGTTACACATTCTCTGCTCAATGAGCCCTATGTCTATGACACGAAAATACCCAGCCAAGTTGGATCCACGGGCGCCTATGGGCAGAGCCCTTCGTTGTCTTCCGTACGGTGTGCATTTCCGGAAAGTACGTCCGCGGCTTCACGGGAAGCACATTCCAAGCCCTCGGCAACAGGGCGCCACATACCGCGCCCGCCCCGGGCGACAGATTTCTTCGACGAGGATTCGAAGGAAGCCGACTACGAGTAGGATACACCATTCCCAGAATGTATAGACGAGGAGGGCGAGTTGTGCCAACGCCGCGACGTGAACGCTGCTCAAACCTTGCGGACACCGTGTCCGTTTCCCAGCCGCTCGACTTCCGGAGAAAGTGGATTTAGTACCAATCGCCTCGACGAGACACAGAAGCAACAACTGGGGACGCTTTTGTATCCGCAATGCGGGCTATCTCTGTGGTGCTGGCCCCCGGTAAAGCCGTTGCAGATGATGCAGAGCTCTTTGAGTAATGAGTGCAGATTCACCGTAAACTTTTCTCACGGTTTCACTCACTGCGGGTCTACAAGAAAGTGGACGTGCGCGTAGAACGCCATCTTCGATTTAAGTTTGCCAAACTTAAGGCGCAACACCGACTTTCTGTGTATTGCCGCCCTGCGACACATGGAATCATTTATCACGCTCCCGCGATCTCTGTGGTTTCTGTCACGGGGAGTCTACGACCACAGCAGCTCAGGGCCAAAGCTTGAGCTCGGCTCATGGCCCCCCGCCTTCTCAGGCTACTGCCAAAAAGCATGGGCGTACGACGACGCGGAGCGCCATGATTCTTCTGATCATTAGAGTCTACGTCCTCTGGGCAATCTGATCGAAGTGCCACGAGTTATCGGAGATGGGTATCCCCGCCACTTCACCAGATATTGGATGAGACCTGTCGACGATGTCGACCCCAAAAAACGTTCCACGTGATAGTGGAAGCCCCCGCTCTCATCGATTAGAGTCGGGGGCAAATGATGACGACTTGGTCAGTAGCAGCCCGATGACTCGCGATGCTTGAAAAATAATGCCGTCGTCAGCGGCGTTCCGCCGCGAATCTTGCTGAGGTTACATATCGCTGTGCGGAAAGCCT